TAAAGGTTTGCATGTAGGCCTTGTTTCCCACATCAACACCATACCTGAAAGTAGCCGTAAACCTTTTCACATTCAGCATGAAGAGCTGTGTACATAGGCACTGAAGAACACACTTCTGCCATTTTCAGGATGGGCAGCCCTGGTAAGGAAGGACTGCTGATCACCAAAGTGTCATAAGTGTATGTACACAACTGCACTTACATTACTTATGAAGACCCTCACACTCATAGGAACACAAGAACATCTGCAGAAATCCCAAATGGAGTGGACGTATGGGAAGGGAAGGGCCCCCAATGTTGCCACCACCCTTTGAACTCTACCTGCTTTCAGACTGAAGGGAAGGGCCCCCAATGTTGCCACCACCCTTTGAATTCTACCTGCTTTCAGACTGAATGCTTGAAGGGGGGCTATAAGTACCAACTTCCACAGTGGAATGTCTGCTCTTGAGCATGACTTTTATACAGGTTTGACATGTTGTAAGCATGCAGAATAGGTTTCAAAAGGTGCAAGTGTTTGCCGAATAAGAAAACAGGCATTCCATTAAAACACATGTGTGCATGCATGAACATGAGTGTGCTTGCGTGTATACAGCATCCTTGACCTTGCCGTATTTTAGGTCAATGGAAGTGCTTCCCATTCAGAGGGGGGAGACAAATTGATATGCATCTTCAAGCAAGGAGCCCAAACTCAGGGTAAGCAGCAGGAGAAGGTTTTTTAATGTTTTTGGTGGGAAGTGGTTTGACGTTGGGACATTTATAATAATAATCAGGTGTCATCAAGTCAATTCTGGCGACACTTTCCAGGGTTTTCCAGGTAGAGAATACTTAGAAGTGGTTTACCATTCCCTTCCTCCGAGGGCTGCCTTGGGACTGTGCAGCTTGCCCAAGGCAACCCAGGCTGGCTGTACTTGCAGGAGGCACAGTGGGGAATCGAACTCCCAACCTCTGGCTCTGCAACCAGATCCCTCAACCACTGAGCTACCCAGCCAGCTCCACTTGTTTCTCAGCTGTCCCCAGACCTTACTAGCTTGGTGAGAAAGTGCTGTAGGAGTGTGGTGCCTGCGCAACAATGGCACATTAAAAAGTCAGTTCTGAGGACAGGAGACCAGAGGAAGAGAGAGGAAGGCTATATATGTGAGCGGGTTCCATCATGCTGTTCAGAGCACGTCCAGGAATGGGCCATCTTGTGTCCATTTCTAGAATCTGCCAACCCAGAAGCCACTTGCCTGCCCCATGTCTGTTCACATCACAAATGCTTGCCTCCAAGACTCAGGCTTTGAGCCTCCCTTGAAATATTTGAGAATGGAATGATGCTCAGCTGGCAACCCTCACTAGCATGTACAGTATATGTACACATGGATGCATGGATGCGCACACATGCACACAGAGCTTTTCAATGTTCACTGCATTCTGTAAGGAATCCTGATTGATTCTTACAACATCCCTGGAAAACAATTCAGCATTCTTACCTTACAGGCAGGGGAGGGACCGAGTTTGACATAATCTCTTGCCTAAAGGCAAGTTTATGGCCGATGTAACATTTGAACTGGCAATTCTGGATGCACGTTGTCAGCTGATCCTCCTGTGTGAAATGACTGCTGCAGATCAAATGATGGTTTCATATTGGCTTCATTCTTGTCACGTGGTCCTTTCCACCCTGGCAAAAGTGCATGCACACTTTATCCCATGGCAGATGTATGTGCAACGAGAGAGCAGGAAGTTGGCAAACATTGTTTCCCAGAAATCTGATTCTGCTAAGCCGAAAATCAATATGTTTACAACCCAGTGTGGTTTTTACATGTCAGTCTGCTGAATAAATGTGTAACTTAGCATTTTATTGCTTTTTTAATTTAAAAAAATAAGGACCTGAACATATCTTAGATACTTCATGGATTAAATGGGTTGAGAGATCCTTCTTCATGAAGAATCAAGAACAGAATTACATATGAAATTACACCAGAAAAATATGTGGTGTGTCTGTGTGCTTCTGTAGCCATTTAAAGACCATTGTGTAGGTGTTTGAGACTGTTGTAACAGAGCCATGTCGTGCTTCAAGCCCTAACCCATTTATTATGGTCTAGGCTTTAATGGACTATAGTAATGCAGTCATTCATGCATTGGTGAGCTGACTGATACATTTAAGCCAATCTTGTTGGACAGTCTGGGCACAGAAAAGAAGTTGTAAAAGCAGCCATAGATATTAATGAGGTGCCAAACATGTGCCAGTCTGGCCGTGCAGATTGCACCTTGCCAAATAACTACAGCTGCTTTCACAGCTTCTGCTCTAGTCACAGTAAAAGGAAACCAGCTATAGCGTAATGAAAGCTTTTGTCTGTGTTCAAGCTGCAAGAAATAGAACTGAACTTCTTGATGGATTTTTTTTGTTCAGTTGTTTCATGTTGGAATCTGTCTCTGAAATTCTCTAGATACTAAAGATGGTTTGTTTAAAGAGGCTAGTTTCAAAACCTATGGTTTGAAGTTAGCTTGTTCCAAGGAAGTCAAAGTGAATATTTACATCTTCTCAAGTTTGGATGATGTGGCAACGTGTGATTATTATAAACCAGTATGGTAAAATGAATTCCATTAAGAATCTCTTGCTATATTCCCCACCCACCCCTCACTGATCCATCAGCTATCAGCTACAGAAGGAAAATGTTTCTGTATGGGTGGTGTTGTGACATTGCAGACTAGCCTAAAATACAGTTGTATTATTGTAGATCATGGTATTTTTTATTATTGCATGCAATGTGGTTCATGAAAACACATTAGAAGGATAGGGGATAAGTTGTTGAATAAATAAATAGAAATAAAAGTATGTTAGTCTAGGTTTAAGCTCAATTTCACAGCTATCTTCATTGGCTTTGGATATGAACTTCCTCTTACCCCAAACTGTTTTACTTTTAAAAAGTGCATTTGTCCCATGTCAAGTTACATTATTTTTTAAAAAAAGATTTGAGGTTTGTTTTTTAATAATATTTTAAAAGCACATTCTTATCTTTCCTTCGATGGAAAATTTGTAATCCAACTTCCAAAACAAAAACATTATAAAATGCCTCTAAATCAACAACTAAATGAAGTTGTTACACAAAGTTGACATGCTATTTTAATGCCTAGCGGAAAAATATATTTAACTATTATAAAATGCCTCTAAATCAACAACTAATTGAAGTTGTTACACAAATACAAGTTTAAAGTTGACATGCTATTTTAATGCCTAGCAGAAAAATGTGTTAACGGCCCAAATCCTGTTGCTTAGTGTAGTAAATTGAACTAGAGCAGACCCATTGAGTAATTTGGGATTTAGTGATTCCATATGTTCCATTGATTTCAATGGGCCTCCCGTCATTGTGACTTACTTCAGCTCAGGAGGTTGCAGTTACAGTAGGCTAATTTGAATCAGTAGAATTTACAGAGGAGCTGATTCACTAAATCCCCATTGATTCCTACTCTAGTGTGTTTTACTATACTTAGCCATTGTGCACATTCTAATAGTGGTTCAAACTCTTGAAATCTCTTGAAACTGGATTACTGCAGTGTGAGGTTGTCCTTGAAGATAATAATGAACTTAAGTGCCTGCAAGTACAAGACCATTAATTGAGGTAGGCAAGTGGGAACTGCATCACACTATTTCTGAAAGAGCTGCCCTGATTACCTGTTTGTTCTTAAAACCAGTTCAGGATGTTGATGCTTACTTTTCAAAATACTAAGTGTTTTGTAGCCCACCTATCTGAAGAAGCGTTCCCATGCTTTCAGTACTGCCGAGGAGCCATTCTGAGTATTTTCAGTATACAGTATGTGAGAACAAGGGAAAGATCTTTCTGTACTGTACTGCCTTGTTGATGGAATGGTCTTGCTTTAGAGTAGGAACAACTGTGCCCTTCAGATAGTATACATCTCAGCAGTCTTTACCATTGTGCTGGTTAGGGCTGAAGGGTGTTTCAAACCAATGATCCATAGGGTCCCTTCCAGTGTGGCAGTTCTAAGATTCTTAAGATCATTATATCTAGAGGACCAGATGTTTCCACCTCTTCTGGCCAGGATTTCTGGGAGTTGAAGTCCAAGAACATCTGGAGGCCCAAGGTTGAGGACCACTGATCTAGAGGACCAGATGTTTTCCCCTGCCCCATGTTAGATATGTGCATCTCACATAGACCAAGGTTTAAATCCCCAGTCAGCCATGAAACAGTTGGATGATCTTAGGCCAGCGGCTTTTTCTTCGCCTGAACCACTTCACAGGGATGCTGTGCAAAAAAGGGGAACAGGAACTGAATATATTGCTGTAGAAGGGAAATGAAATACTGTATACCTCTTCCATTGTGCTTTCCTGCCTCTGGAGTTCCTCCCTTTCTCCAGTATGACATGCCAGGGTAGACGGTATTTTGGCAGCATCACAGAAAAACATATCTATTTGCCCAACTCTTTGCTGGTTTTAACGCCTAGATTAATGAAGAGTTTTGTCTGTTCGTTTCTTTCTTTACTTTTACTATGGATTTTGTGCTATTGTTTTAATAGCTGTTTGAATTAATTTTGTGTACCATCCTGAAAGTTTACTAACAAAGGATGGCATATATATTTAAATATAAATACATAAAAATGCAGAAAATAAAACTAAAAAAACAAATACGAACTGTAGTCTTCCAGACTAGATCTGATTAAGTCCTATAATGACAGTGGTTTTCAACCTTTGATATCGCGCTTTCTCATCCTCTTAAAAAGAAGCAATTTCCGGCATGACAGACCCTCCATACCTCCAAACCCTCTACTTTTTTAAAAAAGAGAGAGGACATTCCTATATTCTAGGCATTTGGGAATTACAGTGATTATTTATGGTAAATTAATCAGCAGAGGGAACCTTGCAGGAGAACGTATGACTGAGGGAGAATGGATTCTTAATCATTGTTATTTAAAACTTCCTTCCCTTTTAAAGGAGTTCTGTGTTCCCATTGCTTTAGTCTCGTTGATGCTTTCCAAGTAATAGCTTCCTTTCATGCCTTCTTATAGATTTTTGGAGGCCTCGTCTGGATCCTAGTGGCATCTACCAGAGTCCATGATCCGATGTCTCAAGGCTGGGTGATGTTCGTCTCAGTGTTCTGCTTTGTTATTTCAACATTCCTTATGCTCCTATATATGTGCGGAGCTCACGGTGGGAATGCCTCGTGGGTTGCACTGGTAAGTGGAGAGTTTAAAGACAGTGAAAATCCCTGCCTTGTTCAAAGTATAGGATGATACGGTACAATCATCTGCTGGAGAAGGCGGGGCTGGGAAGTGTCAAATGCCTGTTTGGATGAAAAACAGACCGACATGAACTGGCGAACTGGCAGTTGGTGCCCATCTCTACCCCGTAATGATTGTGAAGGCAGGAGTGTCATGAATGTGCTGGAACAAGAGAAAATTTCAATGGTGTGCTCAATGATGAGTCTACAAAATGACCTCAAATTCGAATGTATTCTTTTAAACTTGTACGCTTCTTGATGTTTACACCAGAGAGTATTGCGTAAAGCTGACATTTGCTGGAAAATAATGCAAAAGAGGCTTCTCATTGATGTACGATGTTCATAAAGATGGGATTGTATGTACCAGACATAGAACACGTGCCTCCTCTAGCAATCATCGTCTGACCGTTTGTCACTGTCTCTTTTCCAGGATGCTTTCTACCAGGTCATTGCTTCTCTCTTCTACTTGAGTGCAGCAGTTCTGCAGGCCTATACTACCTATTATATGAAAAATACACCGTTTTTTAAATACTACCAAATAGATATCTCAGCAGTGGTGAGTATACAGCATGTGTATCATGTAGTGCTATAATATTCAACCATGCAGTTTCCCCACCCCCCAAAAAACCCACATCCTAATAAGAAAGATATTGTTTTGATTCATAAGAATTAAACAAATCCATAGGCCTTTATTAGGGTCTGTCTGTCTGTCTGTCTGTCTGTCTGTCTGTCTGTCTGTCTGTCTGTCTGTCTGTCTGTCTGTCTGTCTCTATCTATCTATCTATCTATCTATCTATCTATCTATCTATCTAAAAACTTTTGTACCAGCCAATTAGTGCAAAAAACTACTCTGGGAAGTTTACATTGCAGGGCAATCAATGACATATAGTATAACAAACAAGACATTAAATCATCAACAAGAGACAAAGTAAAAAATTTTAACAACTGGACAAAAGGCATTGCAACTATAAATGAGATTGAGTAAACCAGTAGCTAGATGGTGGTAAAATCCAAAAACCATTAGCCAAGGATATTCCTTAAGGCAGAGGTCCCCAAACCCTGGTCTGCGGTCTGACCTGCCCGGAGAGCCATTTTGCGCCTGCGCGCAAGCACCTGCGTGCCCACATGAGCGCTACACTGACCTGTGCACATGCACACGAGCACGTGCACCCATGCGAGCACTGCACTGCTCTTTGTGCATGTGTATTGAGCGCTACACTGACCTGTGCACATGCACATGAGCACGTGCACCTGTGCGAGCGCTGCACTGCCCTTTGTGCATGTATACGCACGCAGGGGGGTGCCCTGCCTTTCCCAGCCTAAAAATGAGCTTAAAAGGTTGGGGATCACTGCCTTAAGGCTTCTTGGAAAAGCCTAGTTTTTAGCATCCTCTTAAAGGCAGGAATGGAGTAGGCTGAAACACAAAACCTGCAAGTCTGCAATTTTTCCATAATCCTTCATGATTTTAGATAGGTTTTAAAAGCCTTTTCAATTGCTGAAGAACTCTTGAGAATGTAAAAGCTTGCACATGCTGATAAATTGTAGTTGACCTTAATCAGAGCCTAGAAGTAATGGCCAGAATCCTGCCAGTGATTCATATGTGCATAAGCTAAAATGTGTAACTCACTGTGGTGAATTACTGCTAAGCATCAAGGAGCCACCTGTACAATCAGGAAAGTGCCTAATGCTGCAACAGGCACAAATCTAGTTATATGATCATGGCCTCATTAGTTAGAAGGATTTAACCATAGTGAGTTACACCCTAGAAGTAATGGCCAGAATCCTGCCAGTGATTCATATGTGCATAAGCTAAAATGTGTAACTCACTGTGGTGAATTACTGCTAAGCATCAAGGAGCCACCTGTACAATCAGGAAAGTGCCTAATGCTGCAACAGGCACAAATCTAGTTATATGATCATGGCCTCATTAGTTAGAAGGATTTAACCATAGTGAGTTACACAAATTAACTTACACATGTGTAAATAAACATCAGGGCTCTGGCCAATGTACAGTGGGGTCTTGACTTAAGAACGGCTTGAGTTAAGAACATTTTGACTTAAGAACCACTCTCATAGGAAAATATTGACTTGACTTACATACTTAGATTTGAGTTAAGAACAAAAAAAAAACCACGTGGGAGGCAGGGAAAGTGCAAAATTTGAACTTTCAGTTAACTGTTGGCCAGTGAAAAGGGTGCCTGTCTACTTCCTCACTCCTCCCAGCGTTTAGAGAGTGGATTGGGAGACAGTCTTCGGACTGCCTGGTACTGTCCTGCCTGGAATAAATAAATAAATAAAATGATCATGGCCTCATTAGTTAGAAGGAATTAACCATAGTGAGTTACATAAATTAACTTACACATGTGTAAATAAACATCAGGGCTCTGGCCAATGTATTAGGTTTAACATGTTAACAGTACAATTGCTACTTCTTCGTTCACAGGAGGACATGGCAATTTACACATGTAAAGAATAATATTTGGAAAGTAATGTTTGACATTTTAATGTAATTTTATTTTTAAAGGGTTTGATGTGTTCTTCCTTTAGCACAGAGGTAATTATTTTAATGTTAAACTTAATATATCAGCTATAAGCTTTTATAAACACACTGCCTACTGGTGAGTTTTGATTTTTGATTTTTTAACAAACACGTTGGCATCAAAATTTCCTTGATTAATCAGGTGACAGATTATTATATGTTAAGGAAATTCTTACATAAACATAAACAAACATAACCATAAACATAAACATAAACACAACAACAACAGCAACAGCAGCAGGAGCAGCAGCAGCAACATCAACAACAACAACAGCAGCAGCAGCAGCAGTAGCACCTATAACAAGCCCAGTACTGCAGTTTAACCTGCAGCACCATTGTCTACCTTGCTGCCAACTTCCTCAATGCCCGATGGGATACAGGTGCCACCTTAAAGAAGCAGCTGCCCAGAACTACAACTCCCACAGCTCTTAGAATCCCAGAGGGTCCCAGATGTTCTGGCTGTGTAGGTTGTCTGCAGGTAGTCAGCAAGAATAAGGACAGGTAGAAAACAAAGTTGGCAGTGTCCAGCTGGAGGTTAGATAAGGTGCCATTCATTGAGTAGGGCAACTGAGCATGCTTGGTTCTCTTGTTGCACTTGAATGAATGAATGAATGAATGAATGAATGAATGAATATTAGCACTGTGGAGCTGAAAGGAACCCTATGGATTATCAAGTCCAGCTCCTGTTAAAGAGGCATAGTGGGGAATCAAAGTCCCAACCTCTGGTTCTGCAGTCAGATGCCCAAACCACTGAGCTATCCAGTGGAAAAACTGGAACAATTTTAGCCTTTGCATGTATGCTGAAAACATCATGAAACAACTTTCATAGGTAAATCCTAAACTGATAAATCTTCCAAGTTACAGGGAATGCTACAGTACTTAAATACAAGGAACAGCATACTCTAAGGCCAAAAAGTTTGCTCATGCTTTGTGTTAGCAGTACCAGTGAACAAACTTGGCATTCTTGAGTCCAAGTGAAATTAACCTACTCCTACTGTATCACTGGTGTCCATGCCACATGGAAGAGGAACTGAGCTACAGATGGACCTGTGGCCCAAGAAGCTGAGCTACCTTTTGTGGAGCAGAGAGGAAAGCATGGGACAGCATAGGAGCAAATGCTATTTTTTGGGGGGGGGCTGAGGGCTCAACTGAAGGTAAATTGAAAGCTTGAAAGAGAATAATTCATCCCAATGCTCTTCTGGACAGAAGTTCACAAACAACCAGAAGCCAGGTTTAAACAGGAGAATGATCCTATGGAGAGGAAATGGCAGTGCAATGGTAGTTGAATTACAATTGCCAAATCTGCTTGCTAACCCCTCTTTGCTTCTCTCCTAGGTTTTTGCCTATGCAGTCACACTGACCTATGTGATCCATATGATATTCTCCCTACTGAGATGGAAATCCTCTTAAAACCTTTGATTGACCTTTTTGAAGTGGATTTTTACAGTCATGTATGTGGTCTGTTGCTCTCTGTGCAGCTCAAGGACTATCTTTCTTTGGAGATTGTATGCATAAATGTGTACTTTATTGTGTTTTAACAAGAAAATCCTTGACTATTTTTAGCTTAATCCTTCCTGCAACTTCCTCCTTCGTAGAGTTCTGGGTCATCATCAGATAGCTAGTGGAGTGACTCTTTCTTAAATGTGTAAAAATGCTTTTTATGTAAATGGGGTTCACGTTTGTACAATAAAAGCTTCCAATACAATTGGTTACTGAGACTTACTAAACATTCATATTTGTTAGAGTTTCTGTGTGTACCATAATAAACTGTTCACAATGGTAAACAAAAGAACAAAATTTTGTAAAGCTCCACATGTTGTTCTCCAATTGGTGGGTTATTGGTTACAGGTAAGGGAGGTGGAATGATTCCTCCTGATGGGGGACCCTGAAACCAAACCAGGCAGAAGGCTTTTTCCAAATTTTGGGCATGTTACCAACACAAACCAATCCTTTCCTCAACACACTTCAGCTTCATGAGGCAATTCTAAGATGTGGGTAGTCTGTTCCTCCAGATGTTCATAGACTCATAGAACAATAGAGTTGAAATAAATCTATTAAGGCCATTGAGTCCAACCCCCTGCTCAATGCAGGAATCCAAATCAAAGTATATCTGAGAGATGGTTGTCTAACTTTCTCTTGAATGTCTCAGGCGTTGAAGCACACATCACCTCATGAGGTAATTGGTTCCATTGTTGTACTGCTCTAACAGAATGTTTTTCCTGATATTCACCTGAAATTTGGTTTCCTGTAGCTTGAGCCCATCATAATACAGTGGTGCCTCACTTAACGGGCGCCCCGTTTAACGACGGAATCGCATAGCGATTAAGTTTTTGCGATCGCTTTTGCGATCGCATTGCAATGTTCCCTATGGGGAAAAATCGCTTTGCGATGATAGGTACCCTGTTTCACTTACCGATCATCGCAAAGCAATGATTTTTAACAGCTGATCGGCTGTTCCAAAATGGCCACCAGTAAAAAAAATGGCCGCCCGCTGTTTTCTGGGACAGATTCCTCGCTTACCGGGCAGCGAAAATGGCCACCGTACGGAGGATTTTTGCTTTAAGGTGAGTCTGAAGCCCCCAGGAACACATTGAAGGGGTTTCAATGCATTCCTATGGGCTTTTAAAAATCGCATTGCGACGAAATCGCTTTGCAGCGCTTTTTGCTGCACGGATTATCATCGCTATGCAAGGCACCACTGTGTGTCCTGCGCTCTGAGATCATCAAGAACAGATCCTGACCATCCTCTGTGTGAGAGGCTTTCAAGTATTTGAAGAGTACTGTCATATCGCCTTCCAGTCTTCTTTTCTTAAGGCTAAACATGCCCAGTTCTTACAGTCTTTCCTTATAGGGCTTGGTTTCTAGTCCCCTGGCCATCCTTGTTGCCCTCCTCAAGATCAGCCTTGTTCCCCTATCATGTTGTGGTATGATAGCTTCCAGCACCATCAGCTTTGCAAGACAGAGCTCGTGCATTTCAACAAAACTGAAGGGATGCACTTTGGTGATTCCTCTTCTAACCCTTTCTGCCCTCGTGCTCTTCCTCCTGTTCAGGAAGCTCTAGAGAAAAATAAATGAATGAATGGATAAGAAGGGGCTCGAGTCATTCTTCCCCAACGGCCAGAATCCTCAAAACTTAATAAAATCTTGTGAAACATTCTACTAGGATCTTAGACCACAAGAAGTAGCCTACCGTCTATGTTGTCCTGTACTTGAGAAAGTTATTTTTTTTGTTGAGAAATTGCTTCTTAAAGCAGCAGCCAGCAGTTAAAATATATAAATTTTATTGTAGTGGCTGGATGAAGGCAGCACCAAGCGTCACAGAAACAGAATTCCAAATCAAAGCAACGGAGTCTGTCTAATGTAGTTACTTACAAGTTACCTAGTTGAGTAGAATCTTGGATGTCAGATTGCATGAGGAGTTCTTTGTAGACAAGATTGTCTGAGAGAAAAAGAGCATCTTTAGCTTCCTGGTTAGATATTGCCATCAAGACTAAAACTGAGATCAAGACTAAGATTTCCATAGTTATGGAGATTTAAGAACGGCAATAGCCAATAGCTAAATTAGATGGAATATTGTTTTGTTCAATTGTGTGATAAGCTGCATTTCTCATATCGGATGTCTGATTAGTCAACACATCTCTATGATAATATTATAAAATGGCTGACTGGTTACATCTTAATAAAAACGCATAACGTTCAGAGACAAAATCCAAGATGTGCTCTTTATTGAATCTGCACAGTGGTGTTCTGAAATCCAGGTGTTTTCTAGGACTCAGTGAGTTACGTCATATTGTAGGAGTCATCCAGCAACAAAATGGCAAATGTGGTTCAATGTCATCAAGTGTAAAGTGGTATGAATTGCACTGAAAAAATCACATCCAGACTGCTTATTTACATCCAGGCAGTCATAGATTTTATGACTTACCAGGAAAAGAGACCTTGGGACAAGCAGGTCAATGAAAACAAAACTCGATGTGTAGAAGTCATGAAAAGAGGGGAAATTCTATTTTAGGAGAGGAAGCAAAAATGAAGCCATCAAGCTGACAATGTATTCATACATACCGTGTTTCCCTGAAAATAAGACAGGGTCTTATATTAGTTTTTGCTCCAAAAATGCATTAGGGCTTATTTTCAGGAGATGTCTTATTTTACAGTCATGTCATCGTCTTCTGGTTGATGCACAATGGTGGAGGGTGGGGTTTCACTTAACCGGGGCTTATTTTTGGGGTAGGGCCTATATTACGAGCATCCTGAAAAACCATACTAGGGCTTATTTTCAGGTTAGGTCTTATTTTCAGGAAAACAGGGTATTCGTTGTATCCACTGTCAATCGACTATGTATTTGGAATCAGAGTGCCTGTAGACTGTGCAGAGAAGTATAGCTCATTGTCAAATGGAGGAGAGAATGTATCCTCCTGTTTAATTATGAGCGACTGAGGTTTGGAATACTGTGTTACAGTTCTGGTTGCCAAACCTCAAAAAGGATGATGCCTGTCTGCAAAAGCTGGAGAAAAGGTCAATGAAAATAATCAGATGCCTTATGAGGAAAAGTTATGGAATTTAGGAAAAAAAGATAACAAAATGGGTCATTACCACAAAGTTAACTAACGGGGACATGACCCAAGTTTTTAAAATTGTTCGCGGGTGGAGAAAGCAGATGCTGTCAATGATTTTCCTAACCCCTTACTTTTTTCATAAGACTAGCTTGCGGTCATTTGAATATTTTGCTGAATGGTCGCAGATGCAGGACAGGCAAAATCAGTGTCAGGTCAAGTGTATTACACCTGGACAAAGTCCTCAGAGCACTATATGATCTGTCACACAATCTTTGGTAGTTTGTGTTGGTGTGGGGTCTATTGCAGCTGATTTTTTTGTCTGCTTAGGTTAATTTCAAAATTCAAGAATTAAAAAAATTCAAATGTTAAAAAATGTAAAAATGCAAAAGGAGTTTGTTGCAATAAAATATTTCTTTAAAACATCTTGCTGGGGAGAAGGATATTTTCCCACTTGTTTTGACATAAAAATGTCCTGTAAGTTTTGAAAGGTCCAAAGTTAACAGTTGCTTGATAATCTTCATAAAGACATAGCCATTTGCCACCCAGAATAGAATTTTGGTCTAGATGGGCGGGATAGAACTCTAATAAAACAAATAAATAAATTTAAGTCTTCATTAATACGAAGTGTAGATTAAAGCTCTTGAGAGTTTCTATCTGTACCCAGTTCATTTGTCTCTGAAAAAGTTTTCCTTGGACTTCAAGTTTGTCCTCTAAGTCAAATGTTGATACCCAGGCATCTTCTCTCTTATTTTGAGAAAGAAGGAAAACAATACATACTGAATGTCTGGTGTGCTAAATACGAATTGAATTGAGGTCTGTCTGCTTATATGTTTTCACAATTCATTGCATTAGCATTCTATAACTATGAACTTAAGTTGTACCACCATTTAATGTATTCCTGGTGTGGTGTAGTGGATCCAGTGACAGCCTAGGACTCTGAAGATCAGGGTTCAAATCCCTACTTGGCATGGAAACTGTCTGGAGGAGTAGAACTGATAAAACCACTCATTAAGGATCTCACTTACCTTGAAAGCCCTATTAGGCTCTTTATAAGTTGGTTCCAGCTTGATGGCACAAAGCACACACAAATCATTTAATAACACAAATGGTCCTTGTAGAAAAAGTCAGCTTGTCTTCAGGAATCCTCTTTCCTTCTTTCATCCAAGCCTCTTTTATTGATAAGGGTCTCTAGACTGTTCACTTGCAAAACTGAAAATTTCTCTGTAGTTGCTGGGATGAGAAGTTCTTTGCTATGAACTTTCTAAACACGTTTGTATGTTGCACCCAACCTCTTTCTCTTAGAGGACTTAATGGGCTTCTTCCATATCATCAGGATGAGAGTTAAAAATCATTAATGTCACAATTATGTAACATCAATTTCTTCCCAGAATTTTCTTCATCTGATTAAATACATTGAGGACAGTTAGTAGCTGTTTAAATTCATTTGACAGAAGCAGACTTTTTTTCCTTTTCTAATTGAGCTCAGTTTCCTTTTATGGGACTTTTCAGAGTTCTAGGTCAAACAGACTTAATGCAACATCTTACCTTCTTGCAACATCTTACCTTCCATTTATCTTGACTGTTCTGCCATGCTCACAAAAAATGTGAAGGCCAAGTGTATGACACTCGAACAAAGATCTCAGAGACATCAGTGCATAATTAAACAATTCGATTTGCTTCCTTAAGTTGCAATGGTGATCACCAATTTGGAGTTAAAAGAGGATTAGGCAATTTCATGAAAGGCTATCAGTGGATACTACGATGCTGGTATGCTGCCTTGTTTCTGTTCCAGAAGGAGTCTTACATTTTGTTGAGAATGGGGAAAACAGAGGAGAAAAGAAAATTTCCCCTATTCTTCTTAAGTATAAGATGCTTTGAGATTTACACCCCTAACTACTGCTAACTAGAAGGTAATTTCCTATACATTAGAACCCCAGTATATGCAGCATCGGTATCTGCGGTTTCACTTACACACAGTCTGAAAATTTCTACTGTGTATAGTGGAACTGAGAGCTGGACCATAAAGAAGGCTGACCACTGAAGAATTGATGCTTTTGAATTGTGGTGCTGGAGGAGGCTCTTGAGAGTCCCCTGGACAGCAAGGAGATCAAACTATCCAGCTCTCACTTCCATACATTGCTGCTGGAAAAACCATAACTTTGACTATACGGACCTTTGTCAGCAAGGTGATGTCTCTGCTTTTTAAGATGCTGTCTAGGTTTGTCATCACTTTCCTCCGAAGGAGCAGGCGTCTTTTAATTTTGTGGCTGCTGTCACCATCTGCAGTGTAGAAGGTTTACCTTCAGCCAACAGGAAGTTCTTTCCTGTGTGGTGCTGGAGTGTGCAATAACCAACCTCACACATTGTGGTTCTGGCATGCACCCATCTGTGCTCTCCTTGGTCCCCTTGCTGCTGCTGTTGTTGTGGTTTTTTTTTTGAGGGGGGGCATGCCAAAAAAGGAAGTACAACAAACACATGCAACTGCCTTTGTGTTGAGCTGGGGAGCACACATGC